AGCATCTTTGGAGAATCCGACACGAATACAGTAGCATATTTGGAGAGTCTAAGCAATATAGCTTTTCGGTGACTTGCTCGATCAGCAGGTGCAAGAGACTTGTTTAACAAAATATCTAATTACGGTGAATTAGAATTAAAGATTAATGGAGGAATAAGGAGTTAATAGAGAATTATATTACTTTGAGAGATGGTTGAGCTGAGGAATGCTGAACTCTAGCCTTCTTAGTTACCCCTCCTCTGCTTGTGCTGTTACACTTTCAAAGTTTAAAAAAAAAAAAAAAATAGATTAAGCTAAACATATGGGAACGTACTAAAAAGAGAAAATAGTGACAACTAGCAAAATGAGTAAATACCCCTGAATTACTCTCCTTTTATTATGTTAATTCGTTTGGCTAATGATAGAATATTTTGGCATTTATCATAAAATTACCTTTTTCTTTTCCAATGTTACTTATGTACTTAATGACTTTATGCAAAGATAAGATGAAAAATTCACTTTTTACTTCCCTTTTTTTTCATGAAAAAAAAATTTAAATAAACTTAAACAGTCGTTCATCCAACTACTTAAACTAAAAATAGCTGTATAATCAGTATATAATTCCGACCAACCATGTATAATAGACTAATGGTCCCCTATTTTTCTTACCTCAGATGAATCGTCTGGATGTTGATGCTTTGCTTCCACCTTACTGGTAATTTTATTACCAGAGTAGTTCAAAATATTATCGCTTAAAGTTGTGGTAACACAAGAGTTAGCTGGTGATGAAGCTGCTGGCAAATCTTGGTAATTACCGTACAATACTTGGCCCACTACTTGTGGTTTTACATCAACAACAGGAACCCTAAAACAAGAAGATGATGGATTGATGGAATTCAAACTTTGGACTTCTTCCCACTTCTCCTGCAGCTTCTTATACTGATGATAATGACTCATACCTGACTTTTCTTGTTCACCAGATAATCCAGACCTGCAATTTAAATTAATAGGGACAAAATAAGAAGAAGAAAAATTAAAGTTTCACCAAGTCAAAACACCATGACTCATGACTTGGATAAACACACATAATCCACATAAAAGGAAATATAACAGAAATAGTTAGGGAGATTGCGATGATGATTTTTCAATCTTTTCTTGTTCACCAGATAACCATACAAATGTTTAGGGTAACATATATTTAAACCCTCTACACAAATTAAACTGGCTGTCTCTTTACCGTCATAAGTAGAGGTAAGGTCTGCGTACACCTCCATCCTCCTCAGACTTCATAGGTGAAATTTCACTGGGTTCGTTGTTGTACACAAATTAAACTGACTATAGTGACCAAGAAAAACCAAAAGAGATAAGAAGATTTACAGAAGTAGCTGGCTCCATGAGCGAGGGAAATCATGGCTTGGAATATTAATATCAGCCAAATAATTAGAAGATCCATAAAAATGCTGAGACGACGACGAAGAAGAAGAAGAAGAAAACTGCTGAGATTCATGATTGGGATGCATGCTTCCGTTCATCATCATGCTCCACCAGTTATTTGTAGGGTTTCCAGCCATCAGTTTTCTACTGCTGATTATTGTAGAAAAATAAGCACATCTTAATATTCAAGGGGAAAAAAAATCCTATCTTTCTTTCTTTCTTTCTTTTTAGCTAGCTTTGTCTGTCTTCTTTCCTTGTGTGAGCACCAAAACGAAACTTTGTTGAAGCCTTCAGGGCTGTATTTGCTTTTCTCACAAGAGGTTGAAGAAACCAATATGTCCCTTTCAAATTATTTACTTAGTAGTATTTCTTACTTGTGGGGTTGACTAGCTTTTGTTAATTTTTTTGTTTTCCTCTCTATATAGCTAGCTCTTCCATCGATCGCTCAATTATATGTGTACTTATTCTTCTTTATTTTGAAAAATTTCTTGCTTTAGCTTTATTGTAAAAGTGGGGGCAAGAAAGGCTGGTGGGGGAGTGTTTTCAGGCTATTAAAAAACAAATGCTCGTGGGGTTTTAATTCCTTGATTTGGGGGTGTGGTAACTTTGGGATTGTTTATTTCTCTAACTAGCTATACATATATATCGAGCTGCCTTCATAGCTAGGTCATATCATATTATTATCATCTAAAGGAGAGCATTCTCTTTTCCCAAGTATACTAACCGATCAACTTTTAACTTGATTATGTAAAAAAAAATTATACTATAAGATTATTTACGTGGAGCTTTCACAAGTAATGAAATTACACGTTATCAATATCTGCTGCGTACTTTAATTTTTGTTCATATATAGTTTAGTAATGATGTCTGTTTTCCTGTTTTGAGAGGTTACTTTCTAACGTCCAAGTAACTAACACCTTGAAACAAAATTTTTATTGCTCAAGCAAACGGCTAGTTGTATGACATTTACTCGGCTAAGACAGTTAACTCGTACACTCTTACGTAGTCATTTTGACGTATAATTGTGGGAAAAAGTGGATGGATTAATTTCACATAGGTAATAGAAGTAAACGACCATGTACAATCAAAGCTTTCTATAAGTGTTGTTTGTTACTTTTTGGTTGTTATAGTGAAGTGTTATTATTGAGAATATATATTATAATATAACATAAAAATTCGATTTCGAGAAAACTTTGACTTTTATAGTGAACAACTGTTATATATGAATACTATCACAAAAAGATCTGATGTTATACCGGACGTTTTGTACTTTTCTCAGTTGCTGCCCTTGATAATCGATGTTAAAATAGAACAACCTTTACAAGTATTAGTTAAAACTCGAGAGAGAGAGAATTTATTTTCAAGTAAAAAGTGAAAGAAGACAATAGCATGGTATCCTAGTCAATTTTAACCTCAATTAAAAAGTTTATCTCATTAAACTTATTTCTGTAAAAATTGCACGGGACGCCCTATTTGGTCGCCCATTTAACCTATACCCATATTTTTAAAATTATTTAATTTATATCCTAATTTTTACAATTTCATGTGCCTCCTTCTTCCTGCGGCCTTTGCGTTCTTTTCTTTTCCTCCTTTTCTTCTTCTTCTTTTCTCTTTAAGAATGCTGAAGTTTAGCAAATATAAACAACTGGATCTTAATATTGTTGTTTTAGAACTTCAGCAAATATAAATAAAAACTTCAGCTCCTAGAATGTTGAAGTTTATTAAATACAAAACAAACTTCAACCCTGAAGTTCATCACAAACATAACAAAGCTTCAGCTAAAACATGTTAAGTTCAACAAATGGAGAACAAAACTTCAGCTACTAGAATGCTTAAGTTCAACCATTACAAATAAAACTTCAGCCAACACTTGGTTCAGCAATTTTTGCTATTTCAAGCCCGTCTACTAGAATATTGCTACTTCAGGCCCGTCTACTAGAATGCTGAAGTTTGGTGATTGCCTTTGCTACTTCAAGGCTGTATGCCTGAAGTTACGCGAAAAGTGGGTACGCTTTCAAAAAAAAAAATTGCAAACCGGGTATAAATTAGAACATGACCCAAAAAACAGGTATAGATGCAAATGCCCCCTTATTTCTTGTGTCGCCTAATGGAAAGAAGAAAAGATATGATAAACTTTCAAATACTCTTTTAACTTTAACTTCGAATACTCTTTTTTTCAACTTTAACTAAAAATTGTCCAAATGTGTACCCAGCGAGCCCTCGGCTAAAATTACTTTGTTGGGTTCAGAAACAAAACTTGAATAAAGAAAAAGACGTACGTGATATGTGTACGTGCAACTTGCTATATGAATTATTACTTAGTGCTAAATTTAATAATTTTGATAGTAGCCAAACCAATACTTCTCGACATGCGCGTGCCTACTGCCTCGTTTTGTTTGGTCATGGTTGCCAAATTGGGCTATCTGGATACCCCTTGACACATACACTAACGCTACCTTTTCTCATCCCATTGTTAGGTGGCTGCTAAAGAAAACATATATATGAAGCCCTTTTTACTTGAGTTATTAAAATGTAACTAGCTATACTGCATGTTTAACCCTCTAAAATTGCCAGTTGAGCTCCTCTATAGATTGGTTCTTCTATAAAAACAAAAGAGTGATTTGAGGTGTTCGTCCTAATAACCGTGGCAGGTAGAACAAATTTAGAGTAAACGCAGAGTACGAAGCTATCCACAACTTTTTGACAACGAGTAAAAAGCTAATGGTGACTAGAAAAAGAAAAGAAAAGCTAATGGTGACAATTAGTAAGAATTTAAGTTCTATAGAAAATATTTACAAGACTGGATCATTTAAAGCAATTACAAGTACTCTAAATAACCTGATAACAATCAATGCATCCCGCACTCACATAGGGAAGAGCTGCACCCCAAAAGTGTAATATAGACATCCTATCAATCTACCATATATAATGTAAGCATCAATGGTCACACGGGAGACATCTCTGCTGTTGCTCTAAGGCTTCGGTTTAATTACAGTGATGGTGAAAACAATTTATTGTATGGTCAGCATATATAACTAATTCCAATAATAAAGTACCTGTCGGACCAATTCAGGAGTCTTATTGCTGACGGCATACACCCTTTTTATCCTATCTTTCGAGCTTAGATTGCTATTATGGACAAGTGTAGTTTTTATTTGAGGTTTTTTGACCTTGTAGACCCAACCAAAAAGAAGCAGAAAAAGGAAATACGATGCTGAAATTGAGAGGACTTACCTTTAATGCAATTCATTCACCTATTACCTATAAGCCCATGGAAAGAACAGAAAGGTAAGGATTAATGGTCTAAATCCCCATGAAATCACACGTTATGATGAACTTTTACTGCTCAAATACTTAAACGGCTATTATCAGCTTAAAAGCGTTATAACCTGCACATCACTTGGCAACTTTACATGCAGATTCAGTAACACACCGCACACTGGCTTACAATCTGAAACTGTAAGGAAATGAAAGATTTCTCTCTTTTTTGTCTATTCTTTTAAGTTTTAATTAGGATGTTACTCTTGACCAAAACTTTAAAAAGGCTGCTTGAGCCATTTGATAAAAAAATTGAATCAATTGTGACCTGTGACTGATCAAACTTTTAAGAGAATCTCTAAAATAAGCATATAAATGAGATTAAAAAGAAAGGCCACATTGAAAGAGACAAGAAACTTTAACAAATGAATGCACTCAATAAAGCAGAACAAGTTGCTTTATCGAGGGATCTTGATTCCTAGTTCAATATGTTATCTTTGGGCAACTTTTGATCCATAGTTTGACTGAAGCTTGCCTTTCCCGTCATTTCATTTCACCTTGGACAACAATTATTGTTTCTGACTAATGTTGTTGACCAAACCACCATGTCGTTGCATCGCAGCAACTGCTTCGCCACACTGGGGGCACCGGAAAGACGGAGCAGCGGAGCAACGTGTTTGAAGACAGTAGTAACAGTAGCTGTATAGTAATGGAGATACATAAAACTCACTGAACAACAGTTACTAACAGCACACTAAAGCAAGAAATGGACACATGAATGACGTCAACCCAAATGGATGACAAGATGAAGAAACAAGATATATCCCCTCTGCAATATCAAAAGATACAATTGCCTTAAGAGTGGACTGACTACCATAGATATTTGAGTTACTTTGTCTAAACTTGGTTTGTACACGACAACTTACTTATTATGGGTATCAGATCAGATCTACCTGGATGTTCACATATTTCCCTATTTTGACTCATTGATTGGGTAAAGCCCCTGACTCTATTTGGAAATGAATTGGAGAGATAAAGTGTTCTTCCAGTTCCGCTTCTTGAGTTGAGAATTTAACTAGCTCCAAGATTTGAATGCCATGGTTGTCTATAAAACACTGGATGTGAAGTTCATTTTAAGGATATAGGAGGATGCGAGGCTCTGAAAAGATAAACTATTTTTCTAGACAACCCTGAAACATTTTATATAGTTTCAACTCTCAAGGTTTCTTTTCTTTGAAACAATAAAGTTATACCTATGTACAGGCTAAACCTCCAAATATACAATATGCATGCATAAGTATAAGATTGTCATTCTGCAATTTCAGTGAATTCAACCTATTACTTCAGCTCATATCTTGATTAAGCTTCAATATAATAGAGTTCCTATTGAAGACATGAACATTTGAAAGATACAATGCATTGCCATTCTACTGCATAATTGTAAGCATGCAATATTGGTACCTGTGCTGACAAGGGATAGCTAAAAATGGAATTGTTGGCTTTCCTTGGCAGATTGGGCACAAAGTGTCATCCACTGAAGAGTCTGAAGATTTGTCCTTTGAGAACGGACGAATAAAATTCTTGACAGATGTTGAATTGAGAAGGGGAAGAAGCAAGAGCAGCATTTCCTGTATATTAGAACAGTTGAGAATGTACCTCCATTCGCATTGTTAGCTAAACAGCTGCGCTCGTATGAAACAATTATAGTAACTATAACTTTTAACGGCAGAAGACCAATTTTGGAGCACCATCTTCATCCCCATACCCACCAGGCACCAGCAAGGCATGACACTAGCTGGAAAAAAGATCTTTTAGCCCTTTGGAAGCATGTAAAAAAGCTAAAAGCATAGCAACGCTCTTTAAGGGCCCTTTCCCTTTTTTGATAAGGTTAAGGACCAATATCCTAACAGATAATTGATAGAGAAATTGCAGACATAGATTCTCAGATAATTTGTCATCAATATTCTCCTCACTTCGGAATGACCATATAAAGTCTGCAACACTCTACTAATGGATGGACAATCAGAAAATTCATTCCACACCAATTGGAGATTCATGTACTCGAAGCTCACTGTTCTGTTCATATGTGGACTCCAATAAACAAGTCTGGCTCTTAAAGCTCTTTCAATGATATTCCTATACCTGCATGCCACTGATACATGTAGAATAATCAGTAAATCTCCAAAATATATAGGAAGCTATAATCTTAATTCCATTCAATAGACCCTTGAGGTCCGGCCCTTCTCCCGACCCCACGCATAGCAGGAGCTTAGTGTACCGGGCTGTCCCTTGGAGGGCACATGTACAGGACATCC